TTCTATACTACAAATTTTTTGCCTTTTCTGTTACATAATGCCCATTTATAATTATTTTATACTAAAAAAAATTCTCTTGTTTGTATGCCCCATTCGAATCGTTTTATAACTCTATTAAAGTTAAAATACTATTGTATCCAACTCACATAACATATTTATAATTTTCTAGTGAAGTTAAAATAGTATTGTATCCATCTCACATAACATATTAATGTGTATCATAAGCATACAAGAATAACAAGGCTAATGAGAATATATTTTCATAAACTACCATTCTATTAATTTCAAAATGTGGCTTTTTAAGCAACATCATCATACAAATAACCTGCTTAGTAAGCAACACATATAATTAAAGTGCATAACAAAAATTGTCAATAGACATGTAATTATAGACAACATTTTGCAATTGTTTAGACAAACGAAAGATTATATCTGTACGATCAAAACCCCCCATAAAATCACAAGACCTAATTTTATGAGGGATATGTGTTTTTCCCTCTATTGAAACCCATTTAGGTTATGGGTCAAATCACATTAAGGGAGAAATGAATTTAGTGGGTATGACCCATTTAAGCTTATGTGGTATTTATTTTTGGATTGTTCTCATTAAATTTTATGACATATCATATTTATTAGGATTTGAGCTAAGATGACTTTTAAGTAACAATAATAAAGTTTAATTACTTTTAAGTGACAAAAAATAGTTATGTGACTTTAGTAAAATTAAAAGATAGTTGAATGGACATCAGTGAAATTAATCATATATAAAAAGGTGTAATACAATTTATCTTGAATTTAAATTTTATGTATACTTCTCATTTAGTAATAGTGCTTTATCCTCAATACGAAGCGTTCTAAAATTCTAATTTATTCAAATCCAATATAGGTACAAGAAAGGCAAAATGTACCGCCCACCCTCAAAATTGAAAGACTCGAGCTACCGACAAACACAGCCTACCTACAAACTACGTCATCTAACTTATTCCTTTCCTTTGATTTTATACCTTTTTGATTGGATACAAAAATTTTAAAATTTATTTAACCTTCCTATTGCAATAACCATTAGTAAAAAGAATTCATTAAAATAATAATCTAAAAGTAGTAATTTGATCAATTTAAAATACAAGAAAATTATTAATGAAATTCTATACAAATGTAACAAGTAAATTGAATTTGTTTGAGACAATTTTATGTTTTAGAAAAGAAGAAGTCATTTACTACTTCCTTTCGGATCTACTTTTACTGTTTAAATTAGTGAAGTATTACCCAAATGAGATATTTAAGGAGACATAAATAATAATCTAGATAAAAACTTTTACGATTAACGTTATTACTTCTTATTGTCAATTTTAATATTTCAATCAAATAAGTAATTATTTATTTATGATATGAGCTTTAACACTTAAAATTATTTTATACGGAGTAATTGTTAATGCTTATTAGATACTTTTAACAAGTTAATCCGAACGAGCTCTAAATATATCTTTCTTAAAAGGACATATAAAATCATGAAATTCGGATCTATTTGCGCATCTCAATTAATTTAATTTTAGAAAAAATGATATTGTATCACCGCTCTTAAAATAATAGGCGAATATATATATATATATATATATATATATATATATATATATATATATATA